TTCTTGAGCACGCGCCATAACAGAGAGAGAGTACAGAAAGGCAGTTCACAGACAAGACTTTACACAGAGTAAGTGATACATGTAATATCTTCCCTTTCAAAGTGAAACGGAACGTGCATACGTTAAAAGGTAAGTTGTCATTTTTTGACTTTGACATTTCATATTAACAACAAGATTTGCAAACAAGTTTTGACAAAACAATGACTTATTGTTAAATAACAATACAATAAATTTTAATTAAAACTATACTTATAAACTATACATAGTCATGATATCGTGTTGGTGGTTTTACAATTCTGCCAAAGCGTGTTGTTTTATTATTACTATCAACGGTACTAGGTAAATTAACTTTTTCATTCAATACATTGTTGCTAATATTATTTGATACAGGTACATCAGACAAGGGAGCAGGACGATGAGGTGACACCGGTTTCAGTATATGTTCGCGATTTCTACGGAATTCTCCTAGTGGTGACTTGACCATGAAACTACGAGGTTCACTGCTGGCTTGCGTGATAGTACCTGGAGTCCATACACTATGTGGTTTATGTTTGAAATATACTCTATCACCCTTCTTAACATTTGACATTGGCTTAGCATGTTTATTATAATAAAGTGATGTATACAATTTTTGTTTTTCTATATTGGCTTTAAGTAAATCTAAATCAGGGAGAGTCGGTAGCAATTGAGTATCAGTGACAGGCAATTTAGAACGTAAGTATCTTGACATACATAGTTGTGAAGGTGAATAACCTGACTTCTTAGGAGTATTACGATATAAAAGTAAAGCTAGGTGAAAATCAGTATTTTCAGTTTTACATTTTTTCAATATATGTTTAATAGTACCTATAGTTCTCTCTACCATACCATTTGAACGACTCATGTAAGGACTAGATGACTTCCATTGAATATGCCAATCATTTGCAAATTTTTTAAACTCTACACTTGAGAATGGAGGACCATTATCTGTCATCATTATTTCAGGTATGCCATGTCTAGAGAATATTGATTTTAAGTGATTTATAATTATATTAGCATTAAAGCCAGAATTCAAAGAAGTCAGTTCTACATACTTAGAAAAATAGTCAACAACAATTAAGTATTTCTTATTATCAAAATCAAATATGTCTATACCTACTTTATTCCATGGCAGGAGTTTATATTCATGAAACATAATTGGTTCTTTTGAATTATTTCTTCTATATGTAAGACAAGTGTGACACTGATTAATATATTTTTCTATATCATTATTCATGTTAGGCCAATAAACAGTAGTTTGAGCTAAGCGTATAGAACTATTAATACCTTGGTGATTTTCATGTGCTAATTTTATAACATATTCTTTCATAGAATTTGGTATAACAATTTTATTTGACATTAAAAGTATTCCATCTAAGACATAAAGTTTATCCTTTAATGAAAAATATGGCTTTATTAACTGACTTACAGACCTTTTATGTTCTGGCCATCCATTTTGACAAAATTGGATAATTTGACTAAGTACACTATCTTGACTAGATGATTGCTTTATTTCTTCTAATTTCTCTGGACTAACTGATAGATTAGATATGATAGAATTGACTTGGATATCTATATCTTTTTCTATGTCTAATAATGCATTTTCATTTAATGCTGCTCGTGATAGTGTATCTGCAATATACAGGTATCGGCCACGCTTATAGAATACATTTAAATCATATCTTTGAAGGCGCAACATTATTCTTTGTAATCTGACGGGAATATCATATAAAGCTTTTTTGAATATGCTAATTAGAGGTTTATGATCTGTCTCAACAGTTATTGACTTACCATATATGTATTGGTGAAATTTAACACAGCCGAATAAAATGGCTAGAAGCTCTTTTTCTATTTGAGAGTAATTCTTTTGGCAATTTGTTAATGAGGCAGAGGCATAAGCAATTGGTTGCTTTTCATGTAATATTACTGCACCAAGGGCATCTTTTGAAGCATCTACTGATAAAGTGATGTCTTTATTTTGGTCATAATAGGCAAGAACTGGGGAACAACTAATTAGTTTTTTAATTTTATTGAATTCAGACTCATGTTTATCTGACCATGACCATTCTGTATGTTTTGACAGAAGTGTTCTTAAAACACTATTTTCTTTAGACAAATTTGGAATAAAGGGACTAAGATAATTGACCATTCCCATGAATCTTTGTAGATCAGTTTTGCAAGTGGGACGAGGCATTTCACATATTGCTTTGACATATTTATCAATTTATAATATATAACATATTTATCAACTCCATTTCACGCCAGCAAGTGTCATCTTACCACCTTTATGCTGATGATTTACAAGTTTATTCTCAAGCTTGTCCTGATCAACTGATTCTAGCGATTAATACGCTGAACCTTGACTTAGATATAATTTGTGACTGGAGCAAATCCTATGGCATAAAAGATAACGCACTGAAAAACCAAGCCATTATCGTTGGCAGTTCCGCAATGACAAATAAAATCAACCGGTCATGTTTACCTGCAAATTTATTCGATAGTATTGTTTTAGTCCCTAATGACTGCGTAAGAAAACCGGGCATAGTTATAGATAAAAACTTGACATCAAAATGGGACCACAGTTTGAACAGACGAGTCGGAAAATTTTTGCTGCAGCTGGTTTCTTGAAGAGGCCACTAAAATTGAGCTTGCAAAATCCCTTCTTTTTCCAATACTGGATTATTCCAATGTTAGCTATCTTGAATTAACTGAGGAGCAATCAAATAAACTTGAGAGACTTTAAAATTTTTGTATTAAATTCATATTTGGTTTACGCATGCATGATCATGTATATGATTTTCGCACTAAGCTCAAGTGGTTGCCAATTCGGCTTCGTCGGAATGCGCATATTGTTTCCCCACTTTACAGTATACTGTTGAATTCTCTCTTTAACTTATCTTAAGGAACGTTTCAAGTTCCTTCGCGATACGCATTGTCGTGTTATGACATCATCGGAGAACCTAAAACTGCAGATGCCTGTGCACTTCACAAAATTCCTTGATAAGTCATTTGTAGTTCAGGCTGTTCGCTAATAATCATAATTATGGTGTACAATAAAGAATTCATTCATTCATTAAATGTCTGCAGCAGCGGTGGTGGTTGTCGCAATCGCGTCGCAGTTCGCAGCAGGCGTCGCAGTCGCTGTGGTCATAGCAGTAGTTTCTTGTTGGTATTGGCTTCTAGTACGAACGCCCTGAACGTCGTTATGTGGTGTAACAGGCATTTTATTTTAATCCCAGACTTCTGACACCGAATGTTACGACTTAGGGTTCGGGATAAAAATCAACGCCAATATTATTCACTATCCAACTTTATTTACTTAATCAAATCACAAAAATAAATCAAACAACAAAATACACATTTCAACTTCACTATTTTACTTCACTACCGTCACTTAACAACACTAATAGATCGTTCATCGCACTAGTTATCGCTTCGAGTAAGCTTATATTCGGTTTTGCTTCCAGATGGCTTTTTACTGAAAGAATGCAGGGACAAATATTTCACCGCGTACCACATCTAGAATATTCTAGGTTAGGATCTAGAACATTCTAGTTTGGCGTCGGCCCTACCCGTGTATTCGCGGCATAGTAAGTGTGGAGTAATTGGTTTTAGAACGGCTACCCGTCCCTTTCTTCCCCCATGACCTTCACTTTTTCCGAGGTACATGACATAATGATACGTAACGCCATCTAGTAACGAGTTGAGGAACATCGCACCACCGCATTCCGTTACAATATAATTGTATTATATTTAAAATAGATATTTTAGATCAAAGCAGGCTGTGAAATTGCAAATATTATAACATCAATTTATCAAAGGTAATATACATGAGATGTGATAATTAAAAATCTATCATTATATAAAAAGAATATACTACGTGTATCATTTATTAGTCATTTAACAATTGCGGTGTAATTGAGAGCAGATTACGTGTCCCGTAATATATTGTATGTTGCAGTTACTATTAAAAATCGGCAAGTCTCTAACTGGCCTGCGACAAACGGTCAGGTCGATTTTGGTGTTTATAATGTAGTATATGACTTTGATCAAATTTAATAAAATAACGATTATAGTATTGCAATTTTTATTCGTGACGAGTTTCCCACTTCTACTTTAATCTGTGAATTGAAAAGGATTTTTATGTATTATTATGATAGAAATGTACGAGTATTAGGAAAAAAAGTATTATGTTAATTTCATACGCCCAAATATTAATCTTTCAGATTCATAAATATTATGATAATTTCAAACTGAAATAAACTAATAAACAAAACTATCTCCTATACAATCTTTCATTTTTATTGCGGAGATTTGAACTTTAAAGGAGAATTTCAGAACTTCAAAGATGGCGACGCTATGATATAGATTTAACTACTAATGATTCGATCATGTTGTTTTGTATTATTGATAAGGTTCAAAATTTCGTATCAGGTTGAGCTTCATATAAACATAACCTTTGAGTTTTGAATTTTAGAAGTAGAATAATTTTAGAAGAATTATAATTGACAAACATGTATTGTTTGATTCGAAACAATGTCAGTTGGTATTGGATTTGATATATTGTCGGTATTTTATACATACATAACACACTGAGGAGTCTCTTTGCACAAAACTAATTTGAAAAATGTCATGACACGGTTATTTATTTAATAATGTTAGCAATTTCCATAAAATACTTATCTCGTATAGCAGCCTTAGCATTGACGCACAAATCGCACCGTCAGCAGTGGAGAGTCTTTTCCAAACATGCAATGATACGCACACCAACATCGCCAGGCGCCTGCACATACATGCCTCAGTGCTCAGCCTTACGATGCAACGATTGCACGCTCTAAAAGATTTATAGATAAATGCAGTTCCCGGTGAAAATAGATAAATGCCAGTGCACATACATTTTCTACACATTTCAATAGTCGCAACCGCACTGACTGGACATTGGTCCAGATTTTAATACGGGACAACCGCGGGTTTAAATCAAAATGCAGTGCCGCGGAACTTTTGTCCTGTTGTGCTTATGTGTGGCTTTGGCCTCCGCCGATTTGGGGGTCAACTTGAAGCTTTTGAAAAGGATGTATGATTCCTGCGAGCAGTCACAGGAAATCGTCAAATGTTTGAAGGTTCAAGCGACAAAGTTCATCGACCGAGCTGCACGTATGGAGAATCTGCCTCTAATGGATGGAGTGACTTTAGTCAGGAATGCGAATACAGGAAGGTCGTTCCCTTCTTCGGTTATCGACGGCGATATCAACGCACTACCATCAGAACAAGTTGACAAATACTTACATCTCGCTACAACTAAAATGTTACAGACTCATCGTGTAGTGATATCTCCAACAAGTATAGGTGATGACGTAGGTAGATCCATGAACGAAGCTAGAGGCAAACTGAAGAAGATGATAGGTCCTATAATTGCTGGTGTTGCAATCAAAGGAGGTTTCCTAGCTATAGCATTTCAGGCGATCGCTCTAATTGCAGGAAAAGCGCTACTCATTGGTAAGATTGCTCTGTTGTTATCTGCTATTATTGGTCTAAAGAAACTTGTATCTGGTGGGGAGGCTCATGAAAAGACGACTTATGAGATTGTGAAGCATCCGCAGGTTTCCCAAAGTCATACTTACTCATCATCTCATTACGGTAGTGACTTTGACGCTACAGGACCCGGTGGACACTACAGAAGGAGCGTTGAAGATGAAGCTGCAGCACAAGATAGGGCTTATAGAGCTTATGCCGCAAAGCAGTAAATACAAGATAGTTTACGACTCCTTACAAATATTCACAACGACGGATCGGGCAATTATCGCACCGAAATAAATATTTGACCCTTTTTGCAAGAGCAAATAGGAACAAAGAATTTTATACTATTATTGCAATAATATTTATTACGATACTGATTAGTTTGTAAATTACTCACTAGGTTGTTATTAAATTATTGTTTCACATTTTTTGCAATTTATTTAATCATTGATAATTATTTTTGTATACAAAAACTGTATTATTAGCGAAATGTAAATAAGGAAGAATTGACATTATATTGATGCATATAATACGATTATTTAGTTGAATTAGTAAATTAATAATTATAATCATTTGCACCGAATATAATGTTGATATATTGAACATTTAAAATGAACATTAAATGATGTTATAATTATATTAAAAACTGTTTATATCATTAGGTTTTAATTTAGGCTAGTCGACGGGTACTATGCATTTCTACCTATAATTTGTTTGTCCAATTTTGTAAAAATATCATAAGATTAAATTAAGGATTTTTTGTTATATTAATATATAAGGGTGCTTTCTAGTTTAAGTAGCAGATTTATTTATTTAATCATTATTATTTCTTTATTTATTGTCGACGATCGACAAGGTGGTTACGCGAGTACCTTTTAAATGAGTATTTATGTTATTTACAAAATAACAATTGTATAACTGAATGTAACTATAATTATAGTATAATGATTATAGTTTGATAATAATGGATTTATTATGGTGATAAGAGATAACCCTGAACGGTATGGAAAGATATAAAAGAGATATGATGGAAAGAACATAAACTTGTTTTATTTTGCATTTATAAATAAACTGCACAAAGAGCAAACATAATAAAATAGGTTAAAATGAATTTGTTTTTTTATTTGAACCTTTTTATCGTTAAATTTACCAAATAACGTTTTGATAAAATAAGGTAAATAATTAAAAAGTATTTATTTTAATATTTTTACTCGATTCATTGGTATTACACAATGTGAAATAATATTAAACCTAAGAAGTCAACTAAACTGGTTCAAGAAACGAACAGTGCGGTTGGTATTGACCTACTAACAGGTCATCGATCAGATTGTATATCTTTCGATAACATATTGTGGGATCTAGGAAGTGATTTAATCTTTTATCCGTATTGGTTGCTTTATAATAGATATTATGCAGTTCATATTCAAGGCCAATGTATCAGATATTATGAATATTACATAATTTTATTTAAATTTTTCCGCAGAATGAAAGGCTTCATCAATTTTAATCTCAAAGCAAGTTATGTTTGGTGATTTGTATAATTAAAATTTAATTGGAATATTATTTTTTGCAGAATAACTTTTACAATTAGTCAATTTACACATTCTTTTCAAAAACATAATTCATCAGACGACATAATACACAATTTATTTAATTAAATCTATGTACATTGTCAATATTGATTATGCAAAATACAATTTAATTATTGAATTTGACTTATTGAATGTATATCTGAATAAATTTAAGATAAATAACGTTAACAGTATCAATTAAATAGCGGTATTTGAAAACAGTAACAAATATATGGGCGTTTTAACAGTAATGAAACTGATCCCGAATAGCTGAAGCAAGACAAGACCGCTGCTCACTCTAATTTCGAAGAAGAACATATTACTAAAGTCGTTAATGAAGAGAAAAGTTCATCACATGTTCAATCTCATGTAGCGATGGTGAAGCACGCGATGCGACGTAAATACCAGGCGATGGTATTTGAAGAAAAAAGACGAAAGTTTTCAACTACTAGAGGCACATGGATTAATGGGTATGTTATAAAATTCTGTTAGACGTAGTTAATTATGAAACTCGACTTTTTATTTTATGAAATTATTTAGTTTGGACAAAATATTGTTTAAGATGAGTTACTTTAATTTTAGTTTCTAATAAATGATTATATTTAACCAATTTTGCATTCACAATGCTTTAAAAAACAGCAGCATTTGGACATATCCGTTTTATTTTTTGGGATAGTGGGGAATATATTTATCTTCCCACTCAATTAAATTTAATGCAAATTATGTCCCAATTTAATAATACCAGTCCCGAACCCGGATTAGAATCGATAAAAATTGGCCTGGAGAAGACCAACCTACCCGTTAAATTCTGTAACGCCGAGTAGCGATCGACTGTCAAAATAACCCGACAACTCTTTTCACAGGGAGCGGCTATCATTGGCCTAGACGACCTAAATCCCCTCTTAAATATAGCCGTGGCAGGATCTGGGTGCCCACCACGCGTATTTATCCAAGATAATCATGGAAAGTATAAGTTATGGAATGAGTTCGTGGGCGATCTGGTTAACATTCGGCGCCTTTGGTTCTCTCTATATTGTCAAGGACATGACCAGATGGAGAAATCTCGTAATAGAAAAACTGTCTTCCCCCTGGGAGGATCATCATCCTCAGCAATCAGGAAAACTTGAGGAGGAGAAAAATTTATTTTCATTACCAAAAATGCAATGAAAATTTTAAATATACTAATGCCAGTACCATTTCCCAAAGAAGTTTTATTTATCTCCATAATAAGAAAATCAATAAACTAATGAATTCCAAAAAGCGATAATGAAACGTTGGCATGCTTCATTTATAATAATCAGAAAATGACAATGTGACATGCAAGTGAAAAATGTCTTGAAACTGTGTCTACTAATTCAATGATAATTTTATGAGCAATATTTTATTCAAGTAAATCTGTCAATACAAAATTTTATAAACCTTTATTTGACATAATAAGATGAGGTTCTATTTTATCCCACCATAAATCGAAGTTCTTAAATTTAACGGATGAAAATCAAGTCCAATACTTTGGATTGAAATAATAGTTCTCAATAAATATATAATAAGTCATCTCTCTTATTGTCTCAAATGGATTTTCATTCCAATTCTAAATCGGAAACACTTCCAGTTGGCCAGTAAGAACTGAGTGAGTGCAGTTTCGAAATAATTAGAGCATGTAATCGTATAGACAATGCAGGATGCAGTCGCAACGGGGACACGTGAAATCATTATCGACGAAGAAAACTTAGTTGCGGACGTAAAGATTTTCACTTTTAACTATTCATACTTGGTTCACAGTTTTTACCCTAAGAGTCAGTGGTCGTATGATGGAAGGTAATGCCGTCTCTTTGATTGTAGTATGTCAAGACTGATAACTATGATGATATGGCATTCAACCCTGGAAACTCGTCGAATGATACGTCTCTTACTAAAATATATCTTTACCAACTACTGGATCGCCTTTGATAGTTCTTTTGAATGAGGGCTTTTATAGTTAATAATTTATTGTTGAGGACATTTCCTCATCATCATGTTCTCTCTTGTTATGTGTGTTTGCGAGTTATCATATTTTAATTACTATACTACAATATTTATTATTATTAAACAGAGACGTAGCAAAGGTTAACCTAGTATGAGATTCTACGGGAGTAATATTTACTCCTAGACGGTAGTAGGTTTGCTTATTAATAAATTTAATTTTAGCATAAATATACTCTTACGCTTAATCTTGTTTATTAATAGCACTGTGAGTGCTTGAATATTTATATTTATCCAAGATATATTATGACGTAACATCGTTTTTGGTTAGAAGTCGTACAAACTTTTCAAATCATTTGATTCCGAAATAGTGAAACTGTAATGATAAATTAGCTAGCGTAGCTCGGTGGCGTAGTGGATAAGCGCCGTGGCCCGCGATCGTAGTCGTTAAGCAACTTTCGCAAGGGTCGATCACGGGATGGGTGACCAAAAAATTATTATCTCGAACTACTCCGTGCTTCGGAAGGCACGTTAAGCCGTTGGTCCCGGCTGTATTTGCAGTCGTTAATACCCTCCAATCCACATTGGGCCAGCGTGGAGGGTCATGGCCCATCCTCCTTAACCATCCATAAGGAAGGCCTGAGCCCCTGCAGTGGGGACGTAAAAGGGCTGGTGATGATGATGATGAATGATAAATTGGCAGTTGGTATACAATAATAAAAAAAATATTAGTTTTGTTTTTAAGAGGTTTTATTGTTTTTATGAAGTATAAACTAAGATTAGAGTTATAGATTATATGTGATTCATAGAGCAGTAAATTTGTGTTTAATCGAAGTTTGACTAGAAGAAATGTTCATATTTAAATTCATAACTGGAACAGAATAAAGTGTACTCGAATCCTGATAAAATAATAAGGCGAATACGAAATCTGACAATTAATAACATTCAGTAGTCTATTAATACATTATCATCATGTGAAAATAAGCTTCTGAATAATATGTAGGACTTATAAAACTATATGTAACAGCTATGCATTCGTATTGTCTTAAAAGCCTTTAATAACATATGTCTATTTATCACAATTTTAAGCTTCACTACTGACATTATAACTGTTCATTTAATAAATATTTATTTAAATGTGGAAAATTTTGTCAATACGAGTATTTAAACATCTATGGGTCTCCACGCAAAATTTCTAGCATTCCTAATTTTTCCATCGTCGAGGGGGTCTCCTATTTCTTTTTTAGTTACAAATAGTCTTTCTAATCTGTCACGAAGCTCATCTGGTGTTATTGGTGCTGCTGTCGACTGCTGTTCGGCAGATTTTTCTCTATAGTAATATTCCGCATGATGAGGTCTTCTATGATAATAACCTGAAAATAAATATTACTAATATAGTAATAACAATTTTTTATATTTTAATATTTTGCTAAGTTTTAGCCAAGGACCAAGTGAATTTTTTAAGCATTTAGCATTAAGAATATTTTTCAGTATAACATTGTAAATGCGAAATGGATCAAATATAATCATAATCAGAACAAATATTCATCTTTATCGAAAGTTTGAATATTAGTAAAAAATATTTGTTTCGGCTGTTTGGGTGAATTGCCTGAACATTGATGAGAATACGCTCTGTGGTAGCGAAAAACAAGTGTGTAACAAGTGCTTAAAAGATTCTTCAGTCTTTTTAGGTCCTGAGTAGCTCAGAGGTTAGAACAGTCGCCCGGATTGCAAAAGGTCATGGGTTCGAATCCCATCTTAGGGTGCCCCAAGTGGATGTTTTAAGAATTTTTATTAAGGACCAATTGAAATTAGTTAAACTTAAATTTACAATCATAATTGAAAAGAGACCCTTTAAAGATTATTATGAGTACTACTCACTTGATAGTTACGGAAAGCATTTTCAATATTTCTAGCTACAATCTTTGGGAGCTAGTTCCAAAATTTGATGGATTTGTGATTGTGCACTTGCACGAGGTCATTGGACCTATGCCTGCAAAAGTTGCAAATGTCTCCGAAACTATTATATTAGAAATTAGTAAATTAGAATTACGCACAAATCACTACGGGAATCTAGAAATTGAAACAATAGGTGCAGATAGTTTTGTGTTTTCCATTAAGCAGAAATGCTAGTAAAGAGATAGTTTGAACGACTTTTTAATTGCTTTCAAAATGAAGCATTTGTAAAAATTTTTGGCAGTGAAATTTAGATCGTGAGAAACCTATAATTAACGAGCTTTATGATGGTTTTCCCCCTTCTTATTAGATACAATTTTATTAAATTAAAAGGTAGATAAGCAAAATAAAACATATAAGTACCAGAACAAATCAGGAACATTATTAAACAGCTTAAGTTATTTATTATTCAACTAATGAACATCAAAAAACAAATTAAATAATGCGATTTCGTGGTATAATATTATCTTTATATTTAAACTAGGCTTTTAATTGTTTTGTTTATCTATGTTTATTAATAAAAAAATATTGAAATAAATGAGCCTCGAGGAGGAGTGTTATAATTACAAGTTTTTCACTATTATGCTTTATACTAGCTTTCCGCCAGCAATTTCGTCCACATGGTACGAGGTTTATTTATGTATCGATTTATATCATGATATGGATATAATTACAATGATATATTGAATAATAACAATGGTTACTGTGGTATAGTTTTAATTCCCTATTTATACAAACTTTTAACCACATTGGTCTTTTTGGCTATTTTCATATCGACATACTTAGGTGTGCAAATAGAAGCACTGCCACACTAATACAGAATATCCTGCCTATCACAAGATTTGTTTTTCAGTAATTGGAGTTTCAAAAGCATTCCATTAAGTTGTTTGTTTGGCTGTTGGTCTTAACCTTGTTTAACTTTTATTTCGATAAATAAGGGTATTTCTTTCCCATATAATAATTTATACGTGAAAATAATTTCTTATTGATTACCATTTACTAATTCGACTAATATTTTTCTTTTAATATATTAGAAAAAAATTAACTAACCAACTTTTATCAATAACAATTTTTGAAATACGAGAGCGGAAATCAAAATGACGATAGTCAAGATAGATAATAATAAAGTAAAAATAATATCATTTGTTAGGATAATTATATTCGATCCGTTTTTATTTACCTGAAGAACTATGATGATCGTGATGGTGAGGAGATTCATAGCTCGTGTATGATGATAAAGATGGTCCACTGAAACCACCATAAGAGCCATAACTTCCTAAACTTGAACCCCCACTGAAAACTGTTACAGCAAGTAGAGCTAATTTCGCAAGAAGAAATGCTTTTTTACTGGCTAGTAAAAGTAACCCCAATAATAAAGGCAGCAATGTTGAAAGTTGGAATTTGAATCCCAGGAGGAATGGAACTAAAAGATTTCTTGCAAGAAGGCGACCTGAAAGCAAGTAATAGCATAGTTTTATCTATATTTTAAAGCAATCATTTTAGACCGCTTTTTAATTTCGCGGAAGGAGCATGAAATTAGGCACTAAAGTTTTTGAGAAAAGTACTGAATCTTGATATTTTTCATAAAAATGTCTAAAAATATATTTAATTAATATATTATTACATATTCTATCTTAATTCATACAAAAAATAACATTAATTATATTACTATTAAAACATTACGCACACTACCATACGGTTGACACTTTAGTTCAACAATAAAAACTTTAGAATTTACTAACTGTATGGTTGAATTTCGATAAATTTGATGGTTACTAGTAATAACAAATTAATCACTTAGTCAGTTCATTGAAAGCACATCCACGTTTTACTATACATCTTATGAAATATCAAGGTTTTCCGCTAGATGCCATGAACGTGTCAAGTTCATTACTTTTACCTTGAACATTCCACGATACACACATATTGATACGTAAGTTATAACAGAGATGGCGCTGTCAGACAGTGAAAAATATAACGTGTCTCAGCAGGCTTTCGCAACTTTTCATATCAATGCAAAGATAACTTTTGTTACTTTACCTAAATAGAACTACCTAAACGCTAGATTAACTAAAATCCTAATGAGATATCTACTATAAAATTTAATATACATCAAACTAAGCATATTTGCTTTTTTTAAGTGTGTATAATCAAATATTATGTTTCCATTCTTTTCAATGAGATAGATGATAAAAACCTGTGGATATTTCCGTATTAGATTGCTGATGGTAAGTTCGGTCTTTGATTCTCGGGTCCACAACAAATTCCAGTATTCCGTTGGCTAATGTTGGCCCTATCCTCATCACTAGTCCAGGGTACAATGCACTCAAATCCCAGTGCAGTGACCTCTTGGAGATCAGGTTGCTGGCATCCTCCATCATTGTACTATATTTGAAGAGAAAACGTTTGAAATGAGAAAGTTGAGAGCTGGCATTAGTCAAATAAGGTTATTTGAATATTTCATTAACGAGAGCTAGTCGATTCACAATTCATTAATATGATAATCACATTATTTTTATTCTAAAAAAGGAGAATTTACTTTGGTGGCCGCGTAGGTATATTTTTACGACATCACTCAAATATGTAATGAGATCTCGAATACGTACAAATAAATTAATAACATGAAAGATAACTTTCGTTAATCTGTAGTTCAGAAAATTTGATAGTTTACTATTTTGAGAGATTTTTAAACGCTATGGTCAACAGATTGAATCGAAATGAGAATTTAGAACTCGATTTAAGTTTATTTTGTATTTAAGAAGTTTTAGTGACATCGTCAACATAAGTTTTTAGATGATATGGCTGTTTTAGTTTTTTTTTTTTTATATAATGAATACTAATCCCATTTGGATAAAGTTTTAAGGGGAGAAACTTCTCGACAATATAAGCTAATATAATATAATAGCAAAAAACCGTCTATCAATAATAAAGATATCATGAAACATGAATTAAAAAAAAAATAGATTAATTTATCCGACTCCCATTCAAAGTCATTTATAGATGTCAAATAAAATAATTGTATAATAGTTATTTCGCAATAGACTTCAAACGAGGAATGAAGTTCATTAATCTTCTATTTATAAACAACGCTAAACAAACACTAATATATGTATCATACCTATACAATTCATCTTTAATGATAATGAAGTCTTTAGATTAAAACCAGATCGTTAATATATTGCGTCTTAACCTTTCGTCAAACCGTCTTAATATCGTTCGTCATTATTCAGTATATTTTAGACTGTCACGATCTAACATGTATCCAGATATTCATCTGTTAATATTAATAGTCATAATATTTGTATTCAATAATCATGATTTAAGTAAGTACCGGAAATCCATTGGGTCCCTGTCGAGGAAACCTTCGATATCTCTAGGTGTTTTTTCATCTCTAACAAATGAGACACCTGTTGCCAGACTGAATGAATCCTCTTCATTAAACTTAGTGAGTTTGTTTAACATCTCCTTCCCGAAACATACTCCAACTTCAGCACCTCTTTGTACAGACAAACATTCATTCAGTTGCGAATCTTCAATATTGTTCTGTTTTAATTCTTCTCCTTGTTGTAACTGTATCGGTATAACTTCTATAATATTGACTGCGGCAATAACTAGCACCAATTTTGAAAACTGTGACATATTGACTTAAGAAATAAACAACCACTTTTGCAATTTTTATCGAGTTTCTACTTATTAATTAGATAAATTTAATCATATTACAAAATTGTTTTTTTATGACACAACCGTTTGACAATAAGCAAATGTAATGTATAACAAAAGTGTATCAGGTCGCAAGCAGTTTTATAGACTTTCCTGGTTATGTCTCGTTGAACTTTGCCATTGTTTTGGCGAGGAACCGCCGTCACGGGCTCTTCCCACGTCGAGCCCAACAATGGGGTGAAAATTCGAAGTAGATAATTTGCAAGGTATCTATCGCGCCATCTCTTATTTTGGTACTGTTACAGAACATTGCATAATTTTAGTTGAATACAAAGGAGCTCGTTCGTTACAACCTGTAATTATCTCATATGAGCTACGTAATGCAAGCAAAATATGAACGCAAGGGTGTCATATATAAATAAAAGTCTTATGTCACTATATATGCTATTGATAAACTCTGTAATTACTGAACTAATTATAAGCAAATTTGACATCTATCTGTGATTTGCTCTAACTTAAAAAATAAGATATTTATATAGTCAGCTATCAGATAATCCATAGGAAAAAAACTGAAAGTCACTTACCGAAATAATAATATGAATCAAAATTAGCGTAAATGACCATACTGCTTTTAGGATTTTTGTTTAACAGCAATAGTTCAGTGACCTCTTACTATGCAAGAAAAATTACTAGGCTAGACAATGACCTGAAACGTGCAAGTTTACGACAAAAATTCTGTCGACTTATACTGATAACCTTCATTACAGTATCGTCTAGTTCACAAAGTCCTATACGACCTCATGATATTTAATATTAGGGTAAGGCAGGGAGATACAAAATAGGAAAAGCTTACAAGACAAAATATGTTTCTCTTAATTTCCTTATGATTAATAACAGTGTTCCATACTCTTTGGGCAACTTACGTAAACGTTTATTGCATAACGAGATGACTTTTACTTTTATTAAACGTTTTATTTAGTAAAGAAACTAAGTCCAAGACTGAAGTACCATTTTAAAGAGCCTCTGACCTCTTCATTGTCTTACAGCGTGCTGGTCTATAACTTTTCACAATAGCTTTAACTCAATTATTTGTTTTGATAATTTCATCCTTATCATTTTAAACTTTATGATTCATTTTCGTATGGTTGAGTAAGAGCCAATGAGTCATTTCGACTGTATCATTGAGGTAGTGAAAGTCTTTTTTTTCACATACGTCCGTCCGGTTCGCTTCGGTAAAAGTCTTAAGTGACGTAACAATTTTCGAGTTTACGCTTACTTAAGTATTTTGCTTATACGTAGTATAATAATAGCTAAAATTGTTATAATATCGCAATAATTATATCTTTGTTATTTTGTACAAAAAAAATAATACGTCCTTTTTCAATAAAAATTGAGTCGACATTATTTATGTCGTATCTTAGTTCGAGTATTTTTTTTTTAGGTGTGTTTATTGATTTCAAACTATATATAAGCATATCATAATAATCTAAAAAGTTAGTCCAATTATTATATTTTTGGTTATCATATTCATTGAGACAGATACATTTATCAATGTCACAAATATTATAATACTCAATCATTGTAAGTGAAGATGAATTTGGATGCAATGAATACTTATATGTAATACTCGTTCTTCATAATTGATCACTATTACAAAACATAATGTTATTCTGCACTTGTTAATTCTATTGTTCTATTGAATACAGATGACTGCATTTTAGTAAGATATGGAAATAATTATAATATCTATTGTAATAAAGTATCAGCATTACTCATACGCTTAGTTCTTATCAAACTACTTGAATATTTTGAGGTCATGAATTTTTCTTCCGTGTTAAGGCACATGACCCCCTATTGATGGGTGTTAGTCATCGACTGGAGGCTTTCGCTGTCATAGCCGTAGGGCTATAGTCTCAGTGTGTCTCACGGTTTTATGTAACCTCCCCCTCATTCTCCCACATTTCTTTTCCATTCATATATACCGTAAAATAAAACTTTTGCAGGGATTTGAAATCTTATATCAACAATAATAAGGTTCCATTTTCAACATCAGTAAGCAGTTATAATGTTGTTTTTAATTTTGTACACTACATCTTCAAATCTTATAATTTACCAACTCAATATTTGCGTCTCAATATATTCAAAATTAACGGTGTAAAGTCGAAATTCACCAAGCAAGTCCCGTTTGAGACTCGGACATGTTATTTCGTCGAACAATTTTTCTTTTGCCGCTGCCAAATGATAAACCTCTTGCTCAAGCACCGAAACGCATTGAGATAGAGCGGCTTTTTGCTAAGCCTGAGTTATTAAATGAAATTGTCACTTTTACGTTTAAAGGAAAAGCGTCTGTTGTAAACCGGACCCAGGAACGCGTGTGAAGCAACTTTCTTTGCTTTTTTTCTAGCAAAAGGATGTCGTGGGTGCGTATGGCACACATTTTTGGAATTACGTAAATCAGAACTTAACTTTGAAGAAATCTATTGTGGCTTATCCTGTAAGAGAATTCCGATGATTTATAAAATCAGTAGAATGATATTAGCGAAATGAGAACGTCTGGTGACATTAAAGACTTCTTTGTTCGGCGGCGATTTCTATTTTATATTTATGTAAAAGTAAAAGATGATGATTCACTTTAAACTATTTTAGCTTTGTTTCCCACGAAACTGATATATATTTTGATGCTCTAGTGCGATAAATGACACCGTATTTCAATTTGTCAAAGTCCGAATATAACCTAGATAGTCACCAATAAGCACATATAGTACTAACTATATTCCCGCGACTTCGCCCACGTAAATTATAGCCTATGTCACTAGCGTATGATGTAGCTTTTTGTAGATGAAAGAATCTTTGTCATCATTCCACATATTTAAAGCTCATTCGATGCAAACAAACAATTATTATCATTTATTAAGTAAAAATTCCTCAAAACATATAGTTAGCGATATAGCCGTTTAAAAAATGCAAAACCATTAATATTTCTTTTAATCTCAAACTTCACAGTACTGCGTGAATTTAATGTTTTTTTCAATTGATTTTTCAAACCTCAATGTTACCCTTTTAAGCAGCACTGCGATAATCGTATCAGATTGCGAGTCTCTTACATAATATCTATGTCATTGAGGGTCGCGTTGATTTCTATTAATTTTCCATTTTGCCTTGACACCATAAGTCTTGTTCCTTAAAGTAAAGACTCGGAGCAGCATAGTGGGTCTTCCTGTGTCACTCACTCTTCCTGTGTCATTCCATCCATTGTGAAGGTATGTGCATCAGCAGTGTGATCACCAATATGCTGATAAAAATGCTTTATACAATATATTTTAAATTTGATGAAGGCAGCAATATTAAGCATAAATTCAAACCAATAATTTCTATGTTCTATGCCTCTTCGAGTTTTAAACTTGTATAGAAAGTGGTATACAGTTTTTGTGACAGGATTTTAATTTTTTAAAACCAGTCTCAATTAATCACCAATTTTATTTATTACGTTAGATAATTACTGAACTGTGAATGAAATTAGTAATGTTGAATCATAAGAAACAGGTGTTATCTATTATATAAAGTGCAGGAACTGATTTCGGTAAGGCTTTGATACTAGCGCTATTCATGTTTGATGATGTAATCAACTGGTAGGATGATTATTTAATGAATGAACTGAATCTTCATCACAGACAGCGTGAAACCAGTTGTAAAAACGGTCAGATATTTGTTTTGTTAGATAATTTTATGTTTGAATGATATCACAGGGTTGCGTTTTGGGACCGATTTTATTTTAAGTGAACTCAAAGTTTAAACTTAATATTGGGAAGGTCAATGTCTAATATTTTTATAACATCATACACATAACTTTGTTTTGCTACTATTCTGACCAATTATGCATTCACAATGATTATTATTAATATTTATTTTATGGATAAGTACGCGATTCACTATCCTCAGGTGCTCCAGATAGGCTTTGACTCCATAAACTTTCGCAATCCTTTATACGTGAGTTTCCTTAGCATTAATGAAATTACGCTCTAGTAAGGAAAGTTACAAACGATTCAAACATACGTCCGTTGTGGGTGGTTATAGTCGATACAAATGTTTATTTTCAAAAGTAAGCATATATTTTGTACACTGTTTATATTTATATAATTATGTTATATACCTTCCTGCTATTGTAGAATTTGACATGATAGGATTAATACTGAAATACTGTAAATAATAGTTTTAACAGGACGCTCAATTGAAAGCACAGGAAAAAGATAGCTATCGAGTACCCTAATGTAATTAGGTATTGAATTTAATCAAAAGTTGATTTATTAGGTCCGATCCGTATACTAGGTAATTTGTCAACACTAGGCGGCATCTGTTATAATTTTCTAAATACTTGATTTACCAAAATACTTGGCATCTCTGAAAATTGTAGATTTTTGATCGGACAAGAATACCATATTTGCATGTATGCATGCATAATGCTCAACTAATATTTTTCTACATTTCAAAATTTTTGAATTTAACACCACGTATTATAATACAATGGATTGATTTATATTTGTAACAGTTTTGTTTGCGTAGTTTTCTTTTTTATTAGCATATGCAGCTTTCAACTACTCATAGTAATTCGTGGTTAACGGCGCTGGTTTTGCTATTAAAAAATGAACATCATATTGTAAATTATAACGCTATTGTAATACTGTTTGTTGACCTAAATAAACAAAAAAACAATAAGATCCCAGGTCCTTCCCCTCTCGGAGAGTACTCGCAACAGGTTTTTCCTTGCGTTAAAAAAAGGTATATGCAAGACTAGATCTTAGAAGAATGGATGGTCGAAGTATTACATAAAATTGTGGGAACCAAATTGGGCTGTATTTGCTCGTAAATAAGTATCTTAATAATCCGTGATTACGTGACACTATTAATAGATGTGCATTAGGTGGAAAAGGTCCGAGTATTAAAAAAAAAAACACCAATTAGGAATAGGTGCACTTGGGTTTGGATTTACCTTGTCTTACCAATCTAATACAAACAACAAAGTGCGGTAACCTATATTATATTAAGAATCCTATCCGCCACGCAACGAGCTATAAACTTATCTGCGGCATTATATTAACACAGATGCAATCATAGCCGGAACAAATATATCTAGGCTCAACGGTTTGTTTGGTACGACTGTAGCTATTTCTCATTGATGTCAATTATTGTCATGCTACGAG